AGAGCTGCTCTAGAGGTCAGACTGGCTGAGCTGGAGGCTGAGGTCCAGGAGAAACGAGAAGCCGTGGAGATTAAAGTAGCTGAGCTGCAATGTCAGCTGGACATGAGCACACAGTGTCTACCAAAGCCCTCCCAGGAGCAGGTAGGCTTGTATGGCTGAGAGAAAGCACTTGTAACTCTTTATCCGGCCGGTCTGCTGGTTTAGCAGAATGAAAGAATCACTAAATCTGTTTTTACAGTATAAAAAGGACCTTGGTGAGACCATTCAACTCTGTGAGACCCTGGTCTCTGAGAAGGTGAGTTTGTCATTCCTTTGTCCATCTTCATTTGTAATCTCACTAAAGTGTCCTGCTCAGTGGTACAACCCGTCTTAGTGTGTAGCACCGTGGCCAGTGGATGACTGGAAAAGCCAATTTGCTGCTCTCACCATGTTTTCTGATTTCCTGCAGGAAGCCGTAGAGGTGCAGCGCGACCTCGCCATACAGGAGTGCCTCATCTTGAAGGAAGAGAATTGCACCCTGTCACAGGATAAGGAGAGACTTCTTAGGGAGGTGCAGGAGAAGCAGGAGCTGGAGGAGTTCAGCGCTCTTGAACAGGAGAGCACAAAGCAATACGAGGTCACCCTCACCGGGACTTGCATGACGATGCCTATGGCCATGACTGCGGGGGCTTTGATTGTGCTCCGCTGGTTTGCTGTAGCCCTGCATGATCCCTGTGCCACCATGTCTAACCACCTGTGTGGTGTCCTCCTGCCCCCCCCCCCCCTTCCTCCCACACAGACTGAACTAAAGGATGAGATCGCCAGCCTCCAAAGTGCAGTGCAGCTCTCTCTGACGCGGGCGGCGGAGCTGGAGGTGAGGCTGCATTTGCTAGCACCTCCTGGGCTCCTCACATCATGCTTTAATTGGGGAGGTGTAATTTAAAAATGGCTCTGTTTGGTGTCTTAATGACCCGTGTGAGGAAGCAGCTCTCTTGATCTCTCGTGGTCTGCAGGTCCGGGCAGCCTCCCTGTCTGCAGAGCTGAAGAGCAAGGACGAGCGAATCGCGGAGCTGCAGAATCTGGTGAGTGAGTCAAAACGCCCAGCGTTTTGTTGGGATTTAGCTGTATGGCGCAGCGAGTCGGCGCACTGTGCCTGTGATCAAGGTTGCCTGTTCAAACCAGGGATTCTTCGTATAAAAGCATCTGGTACATTAATAAATGTTGTCCTCTCTCCTGAGCTGTGTCCCACACAGCGGTGTGTCTTCACGATGTGACTGCTTTGGGTCTCTCTTCTATCCCTACCCTCTTCCTCAAGAGCGGCAAGGACCTGGTCCAACAAGTGGAGCGGCTGAGTCGGTCACTAAGCGATGCAGAGGCGGTCAGCCGTGATGCTAAACGGGACTGGGCAGTCCTGCGGAGCGAGAAACTGGGGCTGCAGGAGAGTGTCGTAAGTGCATTGTGGAGTGTCTATAGTCTGGGTGCGCTGGGGGAGCGGGTCGTGAGTGCATCGTGGGGTGTCTGCAGTCTGGGTGCGCTGGGGGAGAGCATCGTCAGTGAGTCGTGGAGTGTCTGCAGTCTGGGTGCGCTGGGGGAGAGCATCGTCAGTGAGTCGTGGAGTGTCTGCAGTCTGGGTGCGCTTGGGGGAGAGAATAGTCAGTGAGTCGTGGAGTGTCTGCAGTCTTGGTGCGCTTGGGGGAGAGCATCGTCAGTGAGT